CCCCCCCCTCTTCCTTCACTTTATAGTCACCTTTTCAACTTATTGACCAAAATGGCCGAGATTATGCACGTAGCACTTACGCAACTTGTATAACCAACTTTTTTCGATATATCATTCAGAAAAAGTAGACATTACGCAAGTTACATAAGTGCTACTTGCACAATGTCTACGTGGACAAGCTATGTGGCACACACTCCTCCGTGGACCGACTACGTAAGTAAACGAGGTTTGGGAGGATGTGCCACGTACATTACGCAAGTAGCAGTTACGCAACTTGAGTAATATCTACTTTTTCTAAATGTTATACTGAAAAAAGTGGGTTATGCAAGTTGCATAAGTGCTACTTGCGCAATGTCTACGTGGACAAGCTATGTGGCATTGGCACATACTCCTCCATGGACCGACTGCGTTCAGGAAATTAGGTTTGGGAGTATGTGCCTTAAAGATCATCTACGTAGACATTACACAAGTAGCACTTATGCAACATGCGTAATGTCTACTTTTTTTATGAATGTTATATTGAGAAAAAAAGCTTGCGTAAGTGCTACTTCCGTAATCTCGGCTATTTCGGTTAATAAGTTAAAAAGGTCGCTATAAAGTGAAGAGGGGATTACTAAAGACCATGGCAGATTAAAGACAAATCCGTCCTGAAGTAAGGGACATACCAGGAAGGTTTTGGGCATAAATGGACAAATCAACAGATTCTGACACCTTCACTTTGCGGGCATGCACTTTCAATATTTCCAATCTCCCTTTCGCATTAGGAGGCCGGATTCGTATCTAGAGAAAGAAAATCGATTATAGCTGAAAATATGTTACAAATAAGATGACGAAGATGCAAAATGGAGATTCTTCAACAAAAATTTTGTGAAAAAAATGAACTTTTGAGTAAAACATAGGACAAATTGCATGAAAAAGTAATGTACTTTAACTTGATTCCTATTTTGGGTAACGTACTTTCAAAACTTCCATTTTGGTACCTAAGATGCAAAGTTTTAAACATTTAAGTACCCGGGTAACTGGTTGAAGTATTAACCGATTATCATGCTGATGTGTCGAGTGATGTGGTATCCAACTCGGTATTATTTGCTGACCTGGTCAATGACGTGGATTTTTTTAAATCTAAAATTAGTCTTTTTTTAGTCTAAAATTAGTCTTCACTGGGTTACCCGGGTACTTAAATGTTTAAAATTTTACATCTTAGGTACCAAAATGAAAGTTTTGAAAATACGTTACCCAAAATAGGAATCAAGTTAAAGTACGTTACTTTTTCATGCAATTTGCTCTATCAATAGGTACCAAAATGAAAGTTTTGAAAATACGTTACCCAAAATAGGAATCAAGTTAAAGTACGTTACTTTTTCATGCAATTTGCCCTAAAACATAATAACATCATCAATCTTGATGTGAAATATTACAAATAGAAAAGTGTTGGTATTAAATGTGGAATAAGAACCATCTAAGTTTTAGATTTGAAAACTAAGAGATTGCATGTTGAAAATATAAAATAAATTGGTAAGCGTATGTCTGCTGCACACCTCGGGTAATCCCATGGGACCCTGAAGATAACAGTCAGAAAAATCTCCAATGTCCCTTACAAGACTAGAACTGACAACGTATAGACCTATAGGGAGGAACCCAAGGCCTAGGCTTTATTTGCTAGTTGAGCTAACCCTCAAGGTTCAAATTGTACCTCTTTATTGGAGAAAAGGGACTTCCGCTCTCTTTTCCCTTTTTTCCAATGTGGTGGAGCTTAAAATCATACTACTACCACTCATGAAAAAGCCCACTTGATAATTGTTCTTTGTACCTATTTCAAATAACATTAAGGTGGCGTTTGGGTCGTTGGAAACGATGGAATATGAAGAAATTGGAATGGTCAATTCTGTTGATGCGTTGGGTTCATTCTATGAGTTTTAGCACGAAATTCCAATTCCACATGTGATGGAATTTAAATTCCTCGGTTTTTGGTAAGGAATTCCAATTTCATCCCATCTTTTGAGAAAGACTATTATTGCCTTTATTTACTCTAACATATGTCATCCGACCATGACAATCGTCACCACCATCACCACTACCACCATTGCCACCACCATTGTTCTTGCCATTGCCGCCACCACCGTCACCACCACTACCACCACCAATTAATATTATTATTAATTTAGCATTATATATCATTTATAAATGAAGTAATAAACTATGAAAATACCATAAGGTTGTTTTGGTAATTTATCACTATTTTATAATAATCCTGAAGTTATAATTAACAAATCAAACAAACAGATTCCAGTTCCAATTCCTGCCAACCAAACGCATGGTCAGACCTAATAATTCCATTCCAATTCCTTCAAATTCCAATTTCTTTGACAGATTCCAAATTCGACAGAATCCAATCTATGAACCAAACACCACCTAAGAAAGTTGTTGATTATCATGCATTACCTTCCCTTTGCAAAAGACTGAAAACAGTAATTTTGTTGTTTTATATTTAATCGATGGCAAAAGTGTTGTAAAAACGTGTCCTTTTTTACCTCTAAATTGCAATATGGACCTTTTTCTAACGACCACATAACTATTTATATCCAATAGCAAAGATCCAACCTTTCGATCAAAGCGACCAGGGCGGAGAAGTGCAGGATCTAACAAATCTTTACGATTTGTAGCAGCCAAAAATATGACACCTTTTCCCGTATCAAATCCATCCAGCTCTATCAACAGCTGATTCAATGTAGTTTCTCTTTCTTGTGTAGCAGCATTATAAAGATCATCCGTCTTGTCACTGAATATTCCTTGACGCCTAATTATAATAAACAAGATATCAAGATCGTTTAAAATAAAAGCATGTGTTTGTAAGAAGAAAAGCAGGGAGGTAGTTCAAATGAAAACAGCAAAAAGATTGGAAATGTGGAAACTGATATCAACCATTAAGATGGATCTGATCCATGAAAAGAATTTCAACGTTTCTATAAAACATGTGTCACCTAAAGCATCATGCAAAAGAAACAATGCACTCCCTTCATGCCAAATACTCGTCGATAAAAACATAATAGACAAATATGGTGGATCATATTACTGCTACCAATACTGTGCAATGAAAGGAAATAGGCAAGAAGGTCATTTCTGACTGAAACTTCGTCGAAAAAGGAAATGTTGCATTTATTTTGAGAAATCTTAAAAAAAACTATTGCACTTACTAAAAAAGAGAGAGTATTGAATAAACCAAACCAAACGAGCACAGTATTTCCCACCTGTCGGTGGGGACTAGGGAGGGTAGGATGTAATGATGTATGCAGACCTTACCTCTATCTTAAATAGTAAAGCGTTTGTTTCCATGAAGACCCTCCCCAGTATTGAATGAAAATCAACTTCATGTACGCAATTTTCTTCCTTTGAAACAAGTAATTAGTAAAGTTATCCATATGACAACATTAGCCACCAATCAAAAACCTGTGACGATTACTCGCTGAATTTGTCTGGGTGGTGGGGATTTCCTTGGGTTAAACTAGTGCATCAATTAAATCCTGAAATAAAAAGTCCAAAATACCTTGTAGCTAGTGCATCAATTTCGTCAATAAAAATAACAGATGGTTTGTTGACCTGCAGAAAGCAAATGAGCAATTTTTTTATAAGTAGAATTCAAATACTAGTTCTATACTTGCCAAGGCATCCATATTCCATTGTTCAAATGACGAATTAGTTCAAACTTCTAATATCTTAATTTTTTTCCAATAACCCGAATGATGTACCTTAACTGGCGGACTCTAATGGGTACGAACAGGTCATTGAACATTGTAAGATGTTGCATTCAATAACCCGAAGATCAATATTCAACATTTTTATTGAAGTATATAATATTTATATACGGTAAATCTCACACTCATTGTTGACCTTTGGTGAGGCTTGAACCCGATCTCCAAGAAGGTTGGGCTCTACTGGTACCCTGGACCAATGACCCTTTGGTAATATTCAACATTTTTATCTTACTGATGTGAGAAGAACCAACGATGTTGGTGGCTCTCCTTTACTATATGTGAGAAATTAAGTTTGGACCCAAGTGAATAACACCTCAACTTCGGGCTTGAACATCACATCCTCTCTTTGCTCGAAGGCAATCCACATGTGGTTAAAGCTATAATTTTTTTAAATGCAAAAATGACATATTTTGCTACAAATCATGAATGAAAGTTTATAATTGTGTTACATGTTATAAAGCTCAAGTTAGTCATTGAAGTTCTATAGATAACTTTAAACTTCAAATCAATATTGAATTGGAAAGAGCACAATGCATCAAAATGCAAGGAAGTATGCCTTAGTTCCTATTTAGTGTAACAAATAACTTTTTTTTCTCAATCAATGTAACAAATAAATTTACTATTTTACACCCATTTTGACCAGTAAAACCTGTTGATTTTATAACATTTGATGGCGTGGATGTCAAGTTTATTGTCCACTTGTCGTAACCCTCTCATAAACGGGTATCCACATCATCAAATGTTGCAAGATCAATAAGTTACCGGTCAAAATGTGTACAAAATGGGAAATGTTGAAACTTCATTACATCTATTGCAAAAAAAGATATTCCTCGTTACACTAAATAGGAGGAACTAAACAAAACTTTGTTGCATTTTGATGCATTTTGCCCAATTGGAAACTATTCCCATTTACATATATATTGAGACTAAGAGGTTGTTTGGTTGGTTTTCCATTAAATCCTGTACGGATAAAGTTGTTTGTGTCGGTTAATCAGTCTATATAGATTGAGAAGGTTTTTGTTTGGGAGGGGTTTTTAATAGATGGAATTAGTGTGTTTTTTAACTGGCAGGGAAGGTTTGAAAAAAAATTGGCTTTCGGCATAAAGCTCCCCTCTAGAAGCTTAATGAATAAGCCACTTTCTATATCATTAAGCCACTATCGAACAGTCATGTATAGCTGACCGAATAAGTTGCGAGTCTCGTTAAGCTCATTAAGCTGCTAACAAACAAGCCCTAAATCAGAAAAATTAGGGTATATAATCACCTTAGCTCTTTTGAACAAGTCCCTGATACGAGCGGAACCAACACCAACTAGCACTTCAACAAATTCTGACCCAGCCATTTGATAAAATGGAACACCAGCTTCACCAGCTATAGCTTTAGCAACAAGGGTCTGAAGGACATATAAATTCAGTTACTTTCTCATCTACATTGATGACATCCTACAAATATTTGCACAAGGAAAGAGCATGTAATAGCAAACCTTGCCGCATCCTGGAGGCCCCTCCAAAAGTACCCCATGAGGAGGTTTTATCCCCATCTTGTCAAATAGTTCAGGAGTCTTCAAGTACTTGACCAACTAATTAGACAAACAATATGATGGATAACCATAATCAGCTTACAACAAATATAACATAGCTAATAACCCATTTCTTAAGTTGAAAAGCCTCCGAAATTATCAAAAAACCGAATTCCAATTGAAATTGACAGATAAAAAATAAATAGAATGGTTCAGAAGTCAGGCACTACTTAACTTATGAGCTTATGCATGTTTTAAGGTGCTCTTTAAAGGTGTGTTTGGTAGACAAACGGGGATGAACAGAATTGGACGGGACTGGATAGGCAAGGTAGGTAGGCGGGTGGAAGAATGGTGAAAGGTTTTAGAGTTTTATTTTGACATGGGTAGTTTAGTAATTTACCAATCTTGTCTCATCTCCCTGATTATTGCCACCTACTTTGGTGGGGAAAAAAATGCCACTCAATCCTATTCTCTCTCAGTCTAATGTCACGTCAAACATGGGACAACAAGTTTTAGTTATGTCCAGTCCCCGGTAAGGGTGCATTTAATACACTGAACACGACAAAACAAAGAAAAGATCATTGTTCCACGTTTCACATGACTTTTATTTGGAACAAAGTCCACCCCACCCCATGAAACAAGATGGAACAAACCTATATTTTACCAATATGCCCTCAAAATAAAACTTAACTCTCTTCTAAAACATCAAATACGTCTCCATCTTTACTTTTTATCCCTTCTTTAAATTTTATTTATTGTATTTTTTCCTTTAAACTTTAACTTTACTGTCCTCAAAATATTATTTTCATAAGTTTTCTATATTTTGGTTAATTTATGTAATTATTAAATATTAATTAATAAAAAACATATAGAAAATATATTAAATAAAAATTAGAAATTAATAAACTTCGTATTTTGGTGTCATCGTAATCGTCTTAAAGAAAACTTTCTAATAATATATTTTTTTATAAAAATATTTATTTTATGAATTTGATGCATTGTATAAATTAATCAAAATATAGAAAATATATAAACAACTCATTAGGGGTAAATCAGTCATGTCCTATCTCTTACCAAACGCTGAACAGATGTTTCATCCTGTTTTGGGTACCAAACGCACCCTAAGTGAACTTATGGCTAACATATGGCACAGAATTTACCTCTTGGAGCTCTTCGACTGCTATTTCAATCCCTGCCACATCATTAAATGTAACTCCAGTCGAGCCCTAAAGTATTCAAAAGAAAATAAGAGATCCAGAACTTGATCTTGAAAAGAATGTGATTGAAGATCAAGTACAAGCAATTTTTCGAAAACTAACGTCAACTCGAGCTTGTGGTTTAGACTGAGAAAATTCAATCCCCTGCCATATATCCTGCAAAATCAACAACAAATATAAACCTAGTTGCAGTTTCTGAAGTTGAGAGAAATTATAAATCAGAAACCATATAAAGCATATCTTACCCATTTCCTGAAATTCTTGGGCCTTCTGGAAAGAGTAAAACGGAGAAGAATAACCATACCTAAACCTATCACCAAAATGGGTCTAGATGCTTTAAAGATGGAAGAAAAAAACCCAAATGAATACAATTCACTGAGCTTGGAGGAAATGCCACCATAGATGATCATGTCTAATATGACATCCCCTACTCTCTCTAATACACCAACAAGAACTTGTAAAGGAACAGTAAGAAAAGATTTAGTCATTGGCCAGATGACATATACAGTCCCAGCATAGATGAAGCTGGTCACAGCAAATGCTGATGAAGCTAGAAAGCCTCCAACAATAACAGCAGCTGCAGCAATTGCAGCTGTTACTGCTCCAAGTTCCACCATCAACCTGCTTGATATTGATGATGCCACTGAAGTAGGATACTGTGGCAGCTTTTCCATCCACGCCTGCATCACAAGATTAGAAAGCTCTTTCAGTCACTGAGCCAAATCAAACAAGCCCAGTATATCCCATGCAAAGGTGGGATCTGGGGGTACCCTAAATAGTAGAGAGGTTGTTTCCAAGAAACCATCGGCTATGAGAAGTGTGTGAAAGTGAAAAAAACAGAAAAGCTAAGGTTTGAAAAGCTAGATATGAGTAAGCAATAGCAATACAAATAGAAAGAGAGAAAGACATACATGAGTAAGCAACAACAATATAAATATTGGCAAGCACAGAAATAACACAGCCAAGATGTGGAAAGTGGAAACTATACACCCCTAGTCTAACTTAGGTTCGAGTAACCTAACCCCAAGTCACCGAAGTTGAGCCTAAAAAGTGAAAGATAACAAATAACATCTGGGTGCTCAAGCATGAACATATTTCTTTCTCCCTAGTCTTTTTCACATGGCGATGAGTCCTCCAAGATTGTGGTCAGACAAACCAATAGCGACAAAAGTTGACGTACTTACCCATCTTTTTCTTTCTTATTATTACCATACCAATATGCACTAGTCCATCTAAAGTTTCTTCCTTGGTGTTCCCTCGCTTCTTTGTTCTTTCGTCAAGATTGAAGCTTCACTTGCAATCAAGAACCATATCATCCTTGATGCACCACTTACAACCATGTATGTGTGATGTGTTTACCAACAAGAAGGTTATATAGTTCCCTTGGGCACAGCCAGGTTTACAATTACCATGCATATGATCTCCTCGCTGATAAGAAAACCTTATATAGCTTTAAGTGTATCGGAGTTCAAACTTTACTACTTGGCACCTATAAGAATCTGCCATGCATAGATAAAATGTGACAATCATCTTATATGTTGATTTTGATTGAAATTGCATTTTGTCGGACATGTACCACTTAAAGCAAACCCAAACCAAACCAAACCAAGCAGACCCAGTAAATCCGTTAGGGTCTATGGGATAGGATGTAGGCAGACCTTGCCTCTACCCCAAAGGGGTAGAGAGACTGTTTCTGTGATGACCTCTGGCTTGCAGAATAAAAATTAAAAGAAACAAAAGATACATGAGAGGGAAATACGTTAAACAAACAAAGAAATGCCGAAACAAAGAGTAGTAAGGACAATAAGTAGAAAGTTAAGTTTTTTTCTTTCAAATCTGTCTCTCACAATTAAAAACATACTCCTTTCATCTATGAAAAAACCCTCCAAAACAAAAACCTTCTCAATCTATACAGGCAGATTAATCTGCACAGACAACTTTATCCGTACAGGACTTGATAGAAAACCAACCAAACAGCCCCTAAGACAACCCTCTACAGAACATAGGCCCCTAGTAACCTAGCTCTCACCATGATATCCCACACCCTACCTCACCCTCTATCTACTCCAAAGTCTCCTCCTCCCCTCCATGCTACAAATCCTTACCATTAGTCTTAAGTGGTATATTAAACAAGTGACAAATTATGCTTCACCCTTGTTAACTCATTGTCACATTCTTTGTCTTCATCCTTACGCCTAATAGTAATGGAATAAATGCAACCTATAGAGCTTACATGTTAGAGCATTAAATTATAATAGTTCATATCATGGATGGGTGCCATACCATCGTTTGTGTCTCTATCTCATATCGGGGTCCATTATAATCCTTTAGAACAGTTTGGACTTGAAACCCATCCAGCTTTACTGACCTAAAAACCATCATAAAACCATCACCAAACCATTTTAACAGTTAAAAACAAATGAACACCTGTTTTTTTTCTTTCTTTATTTGGCGGGGTGGGGGAGGGTTAAAAGATTTGTAATATTCACCATTTAGTTCTCTGCAAGTTCTTGTCTCCTGGAATCTCTTTCAACTCCACAATGAAATCCTTTTTCCCTTGGGCAACCCCATCCTCTTCCTTAAAAGTCAAAAACTTTATCATATCAGTCTTTATAGCTCTCTGGAGATCCTCGAAGTTCATTCTTGGCAACAATTCCAACTCACCATCAAACTTGGCTTCTTCAGACGATTCCTCTACGAATATCTGTTCAGGAACATAAAGCTTCCCTTTAAATTTCCTCAAAATATCATTCAAATATACATCCTTGGAATAATCCACACCATCTCCACTTCTGTTGTTATTCGATCCTTTCAAATTCAACCTCTTAAGAATCTCCAAAGCTCCATTATCATTACCATTATAACTCTTCTTCCCCAAATCCTCTTTTTCCTTCAGTGTATACAATTTATCACCAATTTTATACCTCGGTTCTACCTGGCAAGGGTTTTCCTTCAAAACCCTCGTCACAAAATCTTGTGTTGAACTATCACTACTTTGACCCGAATCCGAATTCCAAAAAAACGCGCGAGGAAAATGCACTCTTTTTCTTCTACTTCCGGCAGCTTTTAAATCATTTCGAAGTGGAATTTTGATACGGAGTGAGGTGTGAAGGGTAACGCTGGATTGGGAACAACGAACCCTAGGTAATGCAAAGTTATCAGGTGTCCCTACATGTGTGCGAAGCATATTGTATGATGAACTAGGGTTTATGGAAAATTAGGGTTTTAGAGAAACTGCATCTTGTGTTAGATGAATTCCATCAAGGATTAGCGGATTGTGAAGTACGAACTTCGAGCTCTCTGTTCTGCAACAAATTGGAAGATTAAACTTTATCCGGATCCCGAATATCTGAACGGGTCAGCTTGCATAGTTTGTAGAGTAAATTATGTTTTTCGTCCTTGTGGTTTATTGAAAATTGCGGTTTTTGTCCCTGTAATTTATATATTTCTTTTTTCGTCCCTGTCGTTTGTAGATTTCAATTTTCGTCCATATGGATTGTAATTTATTGCTCTTTTCGTCCTTATGATTTACAGTTTTTATTGTTTCAGTCCTTATGGTTTACAATTCGTTACATTTTTTACTTTCTTGTACTTAAAAGTATAAATTAGTCCAGGGACGAAAATAGTAATAAATTACAAACTATAAGAATGAAAGTCAAAATTTCTAAACTATAAGGATGAAAATCAAAATCATCAACAAATCTGATTATTGCAACTATAATCAGTCTTCTAGTAACTAATAATTATACATATATTCTCATTCAGATTTCATTAAGTTTAACACATTTGTATATAAAATATCTGATATAAAAAATAAACAACAATAAATTACAGTGTTTTTCCATTTCAACTGTTGTTTTTCTACATTGAAGGGTTTGTGAGGCATTTGTCTTCATGTTTTACGGTAATTATTAGTTTGTACGTTCAGAGTTTACTGATTGTATTAAAAATGTGTTTGCTAAATTGAAATTATATGGAAAATGTTTTTTAATTTATATAATTTAATATATTTATCAATCAATTACTGTAGCCTCGGTAAATCCATTTTTATCTATATTTCACAACTCGTTTCGTACTCATAGTTCCAAATATTATTAATTTCAAGCATTGCAGCATGGTCATGCACTAGCTTTCATACTAATACGTTACACGATAGGGATATGGACGTTTTGAATGGACCCTGCCATATCATATCGGATAAAGACTGGTCTATGACATCCAGTCTGGACAAGGAAAAACGCTCGATCATCTTTAAACCAGCCTTTTAGGCAGACCAGATAAATACTAATATTTTGCTAACCAAATAAAACTTGGGTCGTTTAAACTAGTTACTCATCTTTTAAACGGGTGGAACTGGTTTTGTTTCGGACCACGTCGCTTGTCCAGGTTCAATCTTTACCTTACCAAATCCTAACCCATTTATCATATTTTCCTGGACCACGTTGACCACGGACCAGACTAGGTTGTTTTTTCCTGTATCGGTATGTGTGCGACTCTGATATATGATTCAAAAACAAGCATTTGTATTGTAATCATAAAACTATGGGTGTAATCATACGTGGTATCTGTCGTCTTGTAATGTCAACTCACAGCTTAAACCATTCGTAAACGAAAAAGTAGATTCATTATGCAGGTCTACACTGAAAATCTCTCGGTTTTTACAACTAACATGCTCGTTAGATATCTAAAGTTCTAAACATCGTCATCAGCTAAAGGAAGCATTAATGCATCTCGGTATTCAATCAGTTGTATTGACCCTTAATATTATCGAGGATTAGGAACTGGTGTTGGGAGTATTAAACCCTCTACGGTAGGTTGGTGCTATCCGCCTATCCGACCCCTTTTGCATATATTTTAAACATACGATCCTCCATCTTTACAAAGAGTGTCAATTTTGGCTTGTGAAATCAGATTTCAAACTTCAGCACCTCTTAAAAAAATAATTCGTCACTTTATGGATTGTTAAAATGTGCATTTTCAAAGTGACTACTGGTCATAAAAATCAGAACAAGAGTCATTAAACAGTACAATATTGATTATTAATTTTTCCAGATACTCCAAAACATACATAACATTTCAATACAAATCAAGTATAACACCAATCAACAAACATATCGTTTTCAAGACTAATCAAGCCAGGCTTATAAAAAAATTGTACTTTTTGTTCACAATTTATTTCGTATAGCTGCTATTTTAACAAGTCGACGATTTAAAATGCAATTTTTTGAGATAGGAGTCGTTTACCTAGTCATTTACCTTATCGAATAAACATGACAAGAACAAAAATCTTACATGGTAGAAGCGATGATAAAGATGAAGAGTCTTACTCGGCAAGTGAAAGTGACAACTCTTACCAAGTAAATTGTTGCATAAACTATCGTTTTTATGAACTACAATCTTACCTGATATATTAAGGGGCCGTTTACCAAACACTTACCCGGTAAGTGCTTACGGATAAAATTTAACATTATCATTTACTCATCGCATAAGATTTTAGTCCAGCAAAACGGTATCGTATGTAACAATTTACCTGATAAACACTTACCGTGGTAAAAGTCGTCGCTCTCACTTACCGGGTAAGACTCTTGATTATTGTCTCGCTCTTACTGGGTAAGATTATTAATCCTTACTATATTCATCCGGTAAGGTAACGTGACTAAGTGTCTTACTTACCTGAGTAAGCATTTGGTAAACGACTCCTAAGTTAGAGTGTTTACTCTTACCAGTAAGCATTTGGTAAACGGCTCATAAGTTAGAGTGTTTACTCTTACCAGTAAGCCTTGCCAGGTAAACGTTTGTAAAATGACCCCTTAGTCTATTAAAAACTAAAGTAAGGGTCTAAAATAACATTTCAAAAAAATTTAGGGGTTGAAGTAGTAAAAAACAAAAAATACAGGTCCTTAGTTGACAAATTTAAAACATTTAATATTAGTAAACCCGTAAAAAATGCCAAAAAGAACGATTTGGGTCAAAATCCTAGGGTTTGGAGTCTGGGCGGAGCACTCGATCAGTCAATTATTGGTACGATTCTTCACTCTCTCTCTCAATTTTGGTTGGAACTTAGGGTTAAAAATCGAACCTGTTTCATCCTACCTTCTGCATCAGGTAAGCAATCTCATCGCTGTGATTTCTCTATCAAAGTGTTTTAAATAAGCAATCCCAAACACCCCCTTCACTATCTCTCTCAATTTTGGTTGGAACATGGGGTTTTTGTTCGTAATTGCTATGTTAAGTTTTTTTCAATTATCATTAGCTGATTGTTTTTGTAATTTTGCATCAGTTTTGTTGTTTGTGCGTGAGAGTGATGGATGTGGACAGGATAGAGCTCGTGAAAGCTCAATTGCAACCGTATTTACGTCAAGGGGAAGAATATGTTCGTCGTTTCGAAGAGTTTGCTCGTCAGATCCCACCAACTCAGATCTATATTGCATTTGGAGTTGTGTTCTTCACTACCTTCATATTCTACCTAAGTAATTTCACTTCCTTCTTTTGGCATCAGATCGTTTTCATAATCAGCAACTGTCTAGTTACTGAATTTTTTCCCTTAAATATGGACAGAAGTGTCCTTTGTTTAGTTGCTACTAGGGTGAGGTCTAGCAGCAATGCAGCATAGAATTTCGGATAATGGAAACTATTTAGCTGTAAACTTGGGTTTAATCCAGTTCAGTTTCTATGTAGTTGGAGTACACTAGCAGACCACTATGAGAAATTTATTTTACAGCAACAATAGGGCACTAGAGTAAGTTTCATGCTAGGGTAGTGCCTGAATTGCAGCGATTGCTGTTGAATGGTCGCATTTTGAGCGTAGATCAGGCACCAGAACTTGGCTACAGGGATTTTTTGGTTTGTCTACTTTGGCCATCTTTTGTTACAATCTTCTTAAGATTTATGAAGAAATAAGAAATCACCATTGATGGGTAGAACAGAGATTTCGAGTTTTAAGAGACAAAAAGGGCGAGAAAAGACAACAGAGATTTTGAGTTTAAAGAGACCAAAAAGGTGACACAAGAATGCAGGAGTACAAGCAACACGTTTGTAGAAAGTGCTTTCAGATTAACCCCAACTAACTAACTACTGATGATGAACTTTAACTGAAAAAGACATGTTAACTATGGAACTTTCTGTGATTTTGCTCAAAGGTGGTTGAAAATTATTAGACTGTTAAGTAATTGCACACATGCTCTTTTTAAGTGGTTGATGATTTTTATTAGCTCTCACGTGATCCATGTTGACGCAGCATTAGGAATGATTTTTCTTATACCCTCTGCGCTCGTGCCAATATATGGCATGCAAAGGTTGCTCAACCACAATTTGGAAGTCGATTGATAATATAACAAGTGTTCTTGAGCTTTAGTCATGATATCAGGAGCCTGCGTATGTAGCTTTAAAGGGGCATAAAACACGTCAATATTTTTTATGTCTAACAAAATGGCAATCGGTTTCAGAACCATATTAGACTTACTATCACAAAACACACAAGTAGGTGCGAGAGTAGTAACCTTTAGGTTTTTTGACAACTAAATTAGCCTGCCATGCCACAACCATTCCTTGCCAAGGATCGACATTAATTTTTAGTAGAACATTAAACTTTCTTTGTTTGCTTGATTCACATGAATGCGAGGCTCTTTCAAAAGCATACAATAACGGGAAACGGGCTTCCTTGACTGGAGATAGCTAGTCTAATCTCTGTCACAGTGAGAACTTAGAAGCTACAAACTGGTTGGGGGATGGCAAATTCTAAGTACTAAGGCAAGTTTACGTGGCTGAGAACTAGTAAAATCTTGTAGTGAGACACTTTGAGAGCCTTAAGTTGTGCTGTAAAGCCTAATGTTGCCATTGTAATTGTAAGATACAACAACTAGCTAAGAAACTTTTTGTGTTAGATAGCCAAAATTTTCTCCTTCATAGTAAAGCCTTTCCCCAGGATCTAAGGACTAATAGGTTGTTTCTAATCTAGAAGACTAGCTTCTTTTAGAATTCCCATTGCTTTAATTCATCATAAGCCCTTCTCATTTTGGGAAATCTTTATATTGAAGGTGGTGTTAAACTGGCTTAAGATCCTTGATGTTGAAGTCTTTATGCAGTTGTTCCTTATAGTCATCAATAAAACACTGGTTTGTCCCTCATGGTATGTCATATACATATATCAGTAAAACAAGAGCATCTTTCTTTTTATGTTAGTAGCTATGCTGTTAATTGCGGCGCTATTGCACTAATAGCGGATTGCGGACTAAGATAAATTGCGGTGAAAATTGCGTTTCCGATGTTACTGGCGCAATTGACCGATATTTGAGGTGAAATTGCAGACTATGTTGACTCGGATGCTGAACCTATTGCTTGCGATTAGCTCGTTTATCAACATTTTTCCTATTTTGTTTTGTGAAACTTGTTTAAGTTAATGTTTTGATGTTGAAACTATATTTTTAATTAATGCATATGATATGTTTATGTATGTATATATTTATATTATAATTATAAGAAATATTATATGAACCGCTATACCACCGCAGTGACCGCTATTTCAAATATCGGTCCTGACCGCAATTTTGTATTTTCACTGCTATAACAGCATAGGTTCGTAGAAAGGGAATACTTTGCATGACTTTGCACAAGTCTTTTTTGTGCAAAGAGATGGTTAATGGGAATATCATTGCAATTAGCTTGTTAAGCCCGTAGAGATTTCTTGGTCACCAAATGATACTAGGAGGGACTGTATTCTTCCTATCTTCATGCAAAAACGCATTGTGTACTTGTAGTTGTTCGACAAACCAGTTCTTCAAAGGTGCTTCAGACAATTGACCATTACCTGTTAACCCATTCCCTTCAGTTGATTACGCTTTTGCCACCAACTGTGCCTTAAATCTTTCAATCTTTCTCATTGTCCCTCTACTTTTATTTTGAACACCTGTTTAATTCAATGGTTTTTCAATTTTTGTCATTGCTCCTACACTCTTCCTTTCTTGTCTGTTTATTTTTGTTACTGATTTGCACAAGGAGATATTGACTCATGTTGGCAAAGGGCTTCTTCAGCTCCATTGGAGATTGAACCACCTCTTTCTTTGCTCACTTGTTAACATGTGGTATCTTTAATGCATCTGATTTAACCCACAAATGTTCCAATATTTCATAATTGACTCAACTGAACGGTGCTCTTGATGCTACTGTGAAGTGTCATTAGCAATATAGTAAATAATATGGTCATCAACTAAAAAGTATCTTCTATTAAGCTCCTTCCAGATAGTTGCTACTGAGTTTAGGAAACTAAATTTGTTGTTAATGCTTTCTTCGATTGCATTTAATGTCTGCTAAACGATCAAGTCATTTGTCCTTTCTATGTGCTCGTAGAGCATCCTCATTAAACTCAGGATATTCAGTTACTAAACCGAGCTTATTTTTTGCATTATCATCATGCTCCTGGTGAAATGTGATTTCCAGATCCATGCAGTTTTTTGGAAGTCAAAGTCATCCCTGTATTATGGGACTTCTTTTATCCTGAAACGATCTATATGATGGTTTTTGATGTAGAAAGAGAGGATGTAATTCTACTCAACCCAAATTTTGGAGGATTTTGGTGATATAGGTTTGATGAAACCATTTTGGGATTTTGAATAGACTTCCCATTCTAGCAATCACTTTGCAGAACAATGAAGATAGAACTATCAACATATTGGATGATGTCTTAGCTGTGATACCATGAAGTACAAAATTGCAATTAATGGATAAATTAGAGACTTCAAATCTTGAGGGAGAATAAACATGGCAATGGGAAGTACTGGAGGTCTCATTGTATTGCTGCAAGTGTACAAGCATCACATATATGTAGGAAGTGTTCCCCAACTAACTGTCAAGAGCGAACTTTGATAGAAAAATTACATAGTGCTTCCTTGAACAATATGTAAGTTTGCTTATATTAGTCTTCGACATCGACAGTTGTTAGACTGTTAAATTGTTCATATACCCCTCTAAGTACCTCTTGACGTTTATTAGCTTCAGTTTGAACCATGCCTGACCGTACCACTAGGAATGATATTCTTTACAGTTTCCTGTTATTTGTTTTGTTTTTGTAAGTAGCGGTCACAGGCATCAGAAGCTTTTTTCTTTTCTTTTCTTTCCATAGAATTGATACAAGTGATAGAGTTACCACTTCATGAACAACGAGGGGTTCACATTTTATATTTCTATTGCAATGTATTTCCTTTTAAGATTTTCAAGTTTGAGCCGAAGATTAATATAATGCAAGCATTCTTTTGCACATGCTACTGGACTGAAGATTGAAGTTGTTTTTTAAAATATATCTCACTCTTGAATATCTTTGCAGTACGCGTTTACAAGCATACCATATCTAACACCATTGTACTCAGTGGGCTTAGTGGAGGTGGGAAAACGGTTCTATTTTACCAGGTAAATATCATGGTGATTGGTATTTTGTAGCTTGCCCCTGGGAAATGCAGTGATATTTCCATGATCTCATTTTATAAATGTTAGTGGTTTTGTACTTGTGTGAAGTTGTCAAATCTTTTACAACTCCAAGTCTATCCATCTGGCATGTTAATAAATGATAATCTTTGGGGAAGTAAATTTGTCATTGCTTTTATCAGCTTAATTTTGAACATCTATATAGGAAGGAGCAATCATTTAGTTAGATTATTGAGAATGAGTAATGTTAACTCAGTAGTCTCTGTTATGTTGGTTGACATGATATACTGATACATGAAGAGGTAAGACAGATGTGAGCGCTTGTGAGTGCACATGGATGAACGGGCCAATAAAATGTGATAGGAAAATGATGGTGGTCAAACCTTAACTAATCATGAAGTAGTAATGTATGCAATCTGTACCCAACGCTACATATCATATGTATCAGTCCACCGAAGAAGGGAAAAATGATATCCCCCACATGCATATATCTACAGAAGAAAAAGTGCAACAAGTGGCATCCAGAATTACTGGCAGTTTTTACTTTTTAGATTCAAAAGTTGGTTCGCATTTGGTGGCAGCCCTTGCTATTTGGGCAAGACAATTTATTACAGGTTACTACAAAATTCTGAGGTAGGCTAGGATTATAGGACTGAATATTTACTTACTGTTTTCTAGACTGCCTCTGTCTCTCCTCATTTGTCAAGTTAGATAATACCAGCTTATGTGTCAACCCTGCATTTTAGAGGTGGAAAATTGGCGGGGTTAGGTAATGGGTCAAAATAGGTTGGGTCAGTTTGACCCACCACAAATATTTTGTTCCTCTTGAATTGCATTAATAATTCATGTATTAAATATTAGTTAGATAGATTGTATTCTTTAGACGATTATCTAATTATTTCACATAAAACAATTGAAGAGGTTGTAAGCATTTGAATACACGAGGAACGATTTTCGACCTGTTTGATCCGCTTAATTCTTTCAACCTATTTTCTTTTTGGCTATGTTTTTATTTTACCCATTTGACTCGGCAGATTGACCCATTTTGAAGTAAACACGCCAAAATTGCTGCCTTTATTGCATTTTACATCTCCAAGTTATTTTCCCTAGAATTTGTAGGGTACTTGTAACTTGTAAGTAATTCTTATGTTGTGATCTTTAGACCTTTTACTCGCTCAGGTAGTAGTTGTATATATGGTTTTGAGATTCCTTCCCAAATTATATTGGTGTCGATGTGTCATCATTTATTTCTTTTTAATCGAAGCTTGATATATCTGTTTCAGCTTCGTGATGGATCTTCTCATCAAGGTACTGTTACATCAATGGAACCGAATGAGGGCCTTTTTGTGCTGAACTCGGAGAGCTCCAAGGTGAACTACTGTACTCTTAACAAATTTATGCATACATGAGATCAGCAACAGTCTATCTAATATAGTAGGTATAATTTACTCCCTCTGTCCCAAAATGAGTGTCCACGTTTCTATTTTAGTTTGTCCAGAATAAGTGTCAACTTTCATAAGTGAGTTGTGAGTGCATGCTTTCTAATTCTACCCTTAATTATGAGAGAACGAAATTCATTACTCCCTCTACTATTAAGAGTAAAATTGTCATTTAGTTAATTAAAAAGTGTCACAATTACACATTTCTAAAACCTTGCCTTTTTCACTGTGGAAAGTGGACATTTATTTTGGGATGGAGGGAGTAATCATTTGAAGATAAGATACTCCAATATCAACTTACAGGTGCAGCTGGCATATATGTGTGTGTGTATATATATAGAGAGAGAGAAGAGGGGGGGGGGGAGAGAGGTTCAGGGGTAAACCTCAAAAAAGTGAAAAACTGAGTAACACCCTTGTAATAGTTCATCTGGACAGTATGCACATGTGCATAGAAGTAACTGAAGTTACATGTGCATACAACTTCAATTACTTGTATGCACATGTGCATACCGTCCAGATGAACGGTTACCATGGTGTTCCTCGGTTATTCATTGCGGTTTCCCCTAACCTTGACCCTATATATATAGTTGTGTTCCTATGAGAAATGCCATTTTCCGTGAGAAGTTTGAGAAATGAAACTTTTTCATGAAAACGTAACCTTCATATAATGTGAAGGCGTGTGGAGGTGACTGCCTTCACAGAAACTGGTGAAGGTACACATTCAGGTCCTGTAACCTTCAATAGCTTCACAAAGTATAATGTAACCTTCACATAATATAAGAGTACCTTCACCACTTCTCACCAAAAATATTTTTTCTCATATGATCCCAAGTCTCTGTCTCTGTGTGTGTGTGTGTATGCATAAAATGATGGCAACATTTTTTCTTCATCTTGTTCAAATGCCATTTTTCAGAAAGGCAAAATCAAGGCAGTTCACCTTGTTGATGTTCCTGGCCACTCACGTCTTCGCCCTAAACTGGATGAGTACTTTCCTCGAGCTGCTGGCATAGTATTTGTTGTGGATGCCGTGGAATTTTTGCCCAACTGTCGTGCTGCTTCAGAGTAAGACGTTTAAATTTTGTTTTTTTATGGAATGCAAGCTACACTAAGTGGATCTAACATTTGGACTTTGACATTTTGTTTGTATAAGGTATCTCTATGACATTTTGACGAAAGCGAGCGTTGTCAAGAGAAAAATTCCACTTCTTATTCTTTGCAACAAGGTGGATAAGGTCACTGCACATACAAAAGAGTTCATCAGAAAACAACTCGAGAAGGAAATGTATGCCATCACTTTCTCATTTGAGTCAAAATTTTAAACTTCTTCCTCTTTATTTTCTAGCAGTTTTCTATTTGAACCATCGTATTTGGTTCTTCATTGCAAACTAACCGTCGTTGAATTGAAATTGCCAAAAGAAAAGAAGGATTCTAGTTTGCTTTTGGACACAATGCAGATATAAATGCCAACAAGGAAAAAAAGTTAGGTCTTTTGTGCATTTTTGCCAAAAAGACGATTATTTGCAATGAAATACAAGTACGATGATTCAAAAAGCAATAACTCTGTTTTCTGTTCTTTTTTGTAATCCCCCCTTCTTGGCATAGGTGATCACATCATGAAAATACAAATGTATTTGCTTTCTTTTCCGTAGTCAATTTAACACCTTAACCAAACCGAATCAAACAAGTCCAATATATCCCATCCAGAGGTGGGTTCTAGGGGGAATACGATGTACGCAGGCCTGACCCCTACCTCATAAGGTAGAACGACTATTTCTATGAAGACCCCAACTAGTGAAAAGTATGTGAAAGGGATAGATACAAATTTGCTAAAATTTGAAAAACTAGATACGCTTAAACGATAGGAATAAAACTAGAAAGAGAGAGACAGATGTACTAGATTTTGATAAATCAGATATTATTAGGCAACTTAACACCTTTAAATGATCCAATCAACAAAGAAGAATTTAGTAACAATTTTCTTTGCAGTCGTAAAATCCATTTTTGTGGCTGGATTATTACTCTATGCATCCCTAAAAATCCATTTTTGTGGCTGGATTATTAATCTATCCATCCCGAAATAAGTGTCCACATTTCTAAGCTTAACGAGCTTAATAGGACTCATAGCTTATTCGGTCAGCTATACATCACTGTTTGGTAGTGACTTAAAGAGAGAGAAAATGGCTTATTCAGTAAGCTTCTTGGGGGGAGACTTTATGCTGAAAGCCAAGTTTTTCCCAAACCTGCCCCTCCCAGTTCAAAAACACACTCTTTATGGAAAACCAACCAAACACCCTCTTAGTTTGACCCAAAATAAGTGTCCACATTTCTATTTTAGTTTGACCCAAAAAAGGCACACACTCTCAAAAGTAAGTGCTTACTTTCCAATCCTACCCTTAACCATGAGATAAAGAAATTCATTACTCTTTCTCTAGTAAGGGTAAAAATGTCATTTAGTCAGAAAACGGTAATAATTACATATAACTAAAAATTGTGTTACTTTTTCATCATGGACATTTATTTTGAAACGGAGGAAATATTATTTTCGTCACATTGTGTGTATGAGTGTGTCAGTGGACAATTTGTTGAATCTATTTGCTCTTAATTGATTCACAGAGACAAGCTTCGGACATCCAGAACCGCTGTATCAGATGCCGATATATCTGATGAGTTCACACTCGGAGTACCCGGAGAACCCTTCTCCTTTTCTCAGTGCGTAAACAAAGTTACTGTTGCCGAGGCTTCTGCATTAACCGGTGAGATACTACCCTTGGAGCAGTTCATCAGGGAACGTGTTAAACCTTGATTCATATCTATTCAATTCATTTTGGTACCAAAATACAAACTGTATGTCGGGAAATGGTTGTTGTTTATCGGGAATTAACCAACCTAAGTAGAGAAATAGTGACGGAATTGCGGTTCCTTTTTTTGGATGTTATTTTAGGAAGACATGTTCATATTCTAAGAATGCTTTTTCTTGAGAAAGATTGATTGTGTTATATCTCAGATTGCCAGTTTCTTTGAGAATTTAATAAAGCGGTTTGAAATAGCGGTCCGGTGATTAGCGGCGCTATTGAGTGCTAAATGACCGCATTTTGAACGCAAAGAAGTGACCACATAACCGCTATTTGTAGATAGGCTGTTTTAGCGTTAAAAAGGTAATTTTGTGGGCTTTTATTTTGGACCTTCGTCGAGTTCTATTTTCGTTCGACATTATTAAGGCTTCAATATTCATATTTTTCATTTTTGGACACCATTATTTTGACCTCCGTTGTCGAATGATAGTATTTTTCACGTTGTTCATATATATTAATAGGAATGGCAACGGGTCGGGTATTAATATCCCCGTCCTTGAAACCGATAACCATAACCGTCCCGATTCCCGTCGTGGATCTTATCGGAGATTCCCATCGGGTCCCTGCAGTTTCCTCGATCCCCGTTGGGGAACTCATTAAGGGTAAAAATTCTCTGTTCACCGTTGGTTATAGCCGAAACCAAAACCGACCTAAAACATTACAAAACGTTATTTTCACAAGTAGTATATTACAATCTTTATAAACACGCAAGTCTAAATGTCTTGAACATAATCAAACCAATTATAAACAATGTCTTACATTACAATATAAAAGTAAATAGATGTTCAAATATCATCCAACTAACATTACGATTTCACAATTACATAAATAACTGGATTTTTTTTTCCGTAAGGCTTATTTGGGGCGTTGAGATAAAGTGGATAAAAGTCTTTTAAATTTTAATGTTAGTATTAGATCAAGAGTTGGTTCAATATGAAAAACCTGTTTAAGCGTTTAACTCTGGAAAGAAGGTGCAGAGATCTGGATAGTGGAAATCAGAGTTCGAATATGGGAAAGAATAAGGGAGGAACATGATACAAAATCATTTAGAGAGTTTTGCAACCATTAAGAGGCAGATTTTTTTTACCCAATAAGCGCTTACCGTTATAAGAGTCGTCTCCCTCACTTACCGGATAAGAGTCTTGGTCCTTGTCTCGCTCTTACCGGGTAAGATTCTTGGCCTTTACCATATTCGTGCGGTGAGGTAATGTTACTTGGTAAGCGCTTACTTGGGTAAGCGTTTGGTAAACGACCCCTTGGTAAGATCAGTGTATATTTGGGACTCACAGTTAGTATTTTTTTGATGATATTATATACATACACACACATACACATACAAGGCTGGGTCGGCTAGTGATCACCGTCCCAACCCCCAATAAAATCCCCGAATATGTCCCAGATCCCCGGCCCTGTCCCCAATAAGAAGTCCTTGAACCCGGCCCGGAAATTTTGGTTTTCGGTTTTCACCATCAGTTTTGATTTTTTTTGCCATCCCTATACACACACAGACGAAAGATCGTGTAGGAAGGAGGAGAGTTAAGGTGAGAACCGTAAGAAGGGATCTTGACCATTGATCACCTTTAATCTCAAATCCACTAATGAATCGCGCTTGATACGATGCATCTTGGTACATCTAATCATAATGTGCATTCACGGTCCTGGCTGCAATTTCATATTTTGACCGCTATAACAATACATCAGAACACACATTTTATTCGATTTCAAACGTCGATACAAGACATGTGTCATCCATATACAGAAGCTAATCTATACACATCACCAAATCATGATTCACAATTTCCCTAAGAAAACATAGAAGAAGTTATCATCAATGGCTGAAACTGCATCATCTGATTCTAACCCCTTGAGCTACCATCTGTTCCATGTTCATAGGATAACACATTCTGGTGTGCAATCCAGACCACACATTCTCAGCTAAGATCTCATTCACAGCAGCTGTTGGATGAAACTGATCCCACCATAGATAGTTTGAAGCATTCCCACAAGCCATTCCAGGTGATATACACATCATCCAACCGTTGTATCGCCCTAAACCGCAACACGCTTTATCCGAAACGCTAAATCCTGTAAGGATCGGGTAAAAACAGCTCAAGATGACTTCAAGGTCCATACAAAAGGAAACCAATACAGTAACTCAGAGTTAGGAACTGTTTGGCTGGTTTTCCATTAAGTCCTGTATGGATAAAACTATCTGTGTGGATTAATCTGTTTATATAGATCGAGAAGGTTTTTGTTTGGTAGGTTTTTTTCATAGATGGAAGAAGAGTTTTTTTTAGGGAAGGGACAGGTTTAGAAAAACTAGACTTTCTACATAAACTCCTCTTTAGAAGCTTACTGAATAAGCCACTTTCTATATCATTAAGCCACTACCAAACAGTCATATATAGCTGACTGAATAAGCTGTGGGTCCCATTAAGCTCTTTAAGCCGCTAACAAACAAGCCTAAAACCAATCCAAACCAAACTGACCTTGTAGATCCTAAGCAGATGTAGGGTATGGGGTAGGGTGTAGATAAGCAGGCCCGAAAAGTGAGTGTGTGCGAAGAAGCAAAAACATCTAGAATGACTTGATGCAAACCAAACTCAAGGCATATTTGTTAGCAGCTTAATGAGCTTAATGGGACTTACAACTTAACTATACATAACTTTTTGGTAGTGGTTTAATGATATAGAAAATAACTTATTTGTTCAACTTCTAGGAGGAAGCTTTATGTAGAAAGCCAAGTTTTTTTCCAGCTCGTCCCTCCCAATTAAAAAACACGCTCTTTCTATCTATGAAAAAACTCTCTCAAACAAAAACTTTCCCGATCTATACAGACAGATTAATCTACACAGACAACTTTATCTATACAACCAAACGCCCCCTAACCCTGCAAATCCTATGCTGATGTAGGGTCTGGAGGTTAGATGTACACAGACAAACTCCAATAAGTGATGGTGTGTGCAAAGAAGCAAGCAAGCAAGTTACAGGTAAGAATGTGTACCAAGAAGTAGAAACATCTAGGATGACTTATACCGTCCAAGCCAAACTAACCCGATAAATCCTAGTAGGAGAAAAAGTGAAAGTGTGTGCAAAGAAGCGGAAACATCTAGGATGACTTAAACCAATCCAAAGTCCAAACCGAACTAAACCACTTAACCTTATGTAGAGGTAGGGGTACATCTGGGGGTAGGATGTACGCAAACGGACCCAAATAGGTGACAATGTTTGAGAGTGTGTGCAAAGAAGCAGAAACATATAGGATGAATTCTTTCTTCCATTTCCACATGATTTCAACATAAAAGATTTGGAGAATGATAGAAGACAGGATGATTTTATCTTACCATATTGGTCAAAATTCTTGATGATGTCCATGGAACCAAGATAAGCATCACAGAAGATGATATTGGCATCAATGAGTTCTTTACGAAGCTCCTTCACAGTATATCTCATAACAAAGTTGAATTCCATTATCATGTTGTTTATCGTCTTCACACATTCCCCATTCTCGCTGTTGTATTGCCACAAGTAGTAAGGAGCACAACCGATAGGAGCCAGTCCCATCACCACCACTCGCCTAACATTCGCATTGTACAAGTTCTGCACCATCAATACAAAATTATCAAACCAAACGAACCCAGTATATCTCAGCTGGTAGTGGGGTCTGTAGAGGGTGGAACGTACATGGACTTGACCTCTACCCCAATGAGTAAAGCATAATAGATCAGAAAGAAAAAGATCCAATAAATAGGATGTGAACATAATAGAGGATTCTTGTAACCTTTATCTCCTGCTTCAATGTATGAGCTAAAAACTGTGTAAATTTCCATGAAATATACTTAGATTGCACACCCGACACATCAGGAAGATAGTAGTGGATGTAATCGTTAGTCCCAATTGAAATGTAGAATATCGAGTTTGAGATGAGATTAGAGGCAGCATCTTCACCCATTGTTAGTATGAACTGTTGGAATGTATCCATAACCTGTTGAATTTGTTGGGTGAAGGATATGTGCTGACCCTGCATGATTATAACATATATTTATGTCTATATCTCAAGAACCATACAAAATAAACAACATATGGGACCATTTATGACCATATTTTGAACAAAATCTTGGTTCTGAAGCATACCAATTCTGATCCACTAGAAAAGATCATTCCAGCACCAGCAGAAGCGTAATTCAACCCTTGTTTCATATCTGAAAAGGACCCACTCTGACCTAGGTAGCTCGGAACAAAGGGAAGGCCCAGATACAATGCTGTGATCGAAATGAGAAATATGGTTAGAACACTGATTTCGCCAACATAAGTTCCAACCATTCTAAAGGATTTACATTTTGACCTATGAATCCTAACACACCTGTCATGAATTCTTTGGCTTTTTAAGAAAAAACTTATGGGTGCATTACAGATTTTAACAAGACAGCATGGCGAAAGTTGTTGGTTTCCATTTGTGACAAACCCGTATGGATATTAATCAAGAAAGTTCCAAAGAAACATATGATAGAAGACCTTTCATGTAACAAAATGGGCAGAAAAAACAAGATACTTCAAAAAAGAACCAAAAGGGGAGGAACAGGAAAGACCAAGAACTTTTATCAAACACCTGATGTGCAACCACTCAATTGACTGCAATTATCATTTGAAGTTAACAGAACTTGAAATACCAAACATGAGTAAATCAAAATTTCTTTGCCAAACAGACAATTCAAAAAAATCCACCCAAAATAATGCTTCAATATACATGACTATGAAAAGAACAATAAAATGACAACAAGAACATCAGAAATGCACAATAAAATGAAACGAAATAACAACCATATCCTCAAGGAATTCAAGAAAACATAAATTATGGAGTAATCACTTACCAAGATAATCAACAGGAATTCTTCCATTGCAGAACCGTCCGGTGGGTTTATGGGTATCAAAGTCACGTCCATAAGGAAGATGATCTGCTCGTGCAAGAGTTGCAAGAAAATTGTTGGTCCCACAGTCAACAGAAGAGTCACCGATAATGAATAATGCCGGAACCGAAATAGGAGCAGGTGGTGGTGGTGGTGACGGTGACGGTGGAGGTGGCGGAGATGGAGACGGTGGAGGTGGCGGAGATGGAGACGGTGGAGGAGGAGGAGGAGAGACAGAATTATTTGTTGATCCAGTATAAAGATCTTGAGAAACAGAATGATTTCTTGATCTACTATTATAAAGATCTTGAGAAATATGGACAACTCCAACCGGTTTGAAACCAAAAAACATGGCGTGAGAAAGAATCAAGAGGCTCAATAATCGAAAAGAGGAAGAGGAGGAGGAGGACTCCATTGATGAATGCGAGCTTTTGACTGATAGAAATGGCGGGTGATTCAGAGCTGAATTTAAACGGCCAAAACGTTTGACTTTTGAAAAAGTCAATACATGCGACATTTTGGGCTTTTTATGTTGGGCCTTGATATGAAGCCCACTTTAAATTGGGCTACAAAATTGGCTTTTGGGTTTTAATTTTTTATTTAGTTAATTCATAAAAATAATTAAAATTTTAACGTTTAAAAATAGTACCATTTATGGGTTTTAAATCATTATAAAAGAATAAAATTTTAACAAAAATATTATATTATTTCTTAAAAACGACGTATTTTTATACTTAAATAAAGGGTTGTTTATCAAATGCTTACTGGACCACTTACCTTACCGGATAAATATGATAAAGACTGAGAATCTTACCTGGTAAAAATGATGATAATGACCAAGAGTCTTACCTGTTAAGTGAAAGTGACAATTCTTACTCGCCTGACAAAAATGAAGTGACTGTTGCATATGATGACATTTTGATCAGGGCCGGACTATATAGAAGGATACAGGGCACGTGTCACCGCTTCATGTTATCGTCGTGAGAGAAAAACATTACATTTATGAAGAATGTCACCGTATTGTTTTGTCGGGTGACATCATATAGTTTTCGAAACTGAAATGTTAGTGTAAGAGTTTGATGGCGGAGATGGGAATTGTTCTTGCCATTGTACAAAACTTTGGTGTTCTTTCATAGACCGATTGTGTTTGTAAGTATATATATAGATATGATTCGAACATGAGTCTCTTTTATGCAAGGATAGAACCGACGGACATTTGCTTTTTACAATCAGATATTTTTGGGCCCATCTTTAGTTTTGATGGACTAGAATCTTATTTGGTAAGATCAGTACAAATATTAACACTTACTGATAAATGCTTATTGGGTAAGCGTTTGGATAAACAACTTCTGGATGTTGCTTTATTTTATGATGTTCGCATTTACTAATTATTTCATTTCATAATTACCACATGGGTTTTAATTAATATTTTCAAGCCAAGAAAATGATCTTCTAACAAACAAACGAACATGAAATTAATGACGATGTTATTATCGTCCTAAAGTTCATAGTACAGATTCTTCGATATATTTTATAGAATTACTTTAAAATAGAAAATCAAAATTCAAAATCTATAAAAAAAAATTAGGGGGTGTTTGGTTCACATAATGAAATTTGATGGAATTGGAATTTATCAAAGAAATTTGAATTTGAAGAAATTGGAATGGAATTTGACCACGCGTTTGGTTGGTAGGAATTGGAATCGAATCTTTCAATAGAATTGGAACGATCGTCTTTGTTTGGACTATTCCACCCTTCACCTCCCGCCCACACCCTACCAACCACCATGTCACTACTGTCGTTGTCACAACTATCACCCCAACCCTGCCCCCAACATTCCTGCCCCACTATTGCTCCATATGTGGAGGTTGTTGGGGGCAGGCAGGGTAGGGCAAGGCGGTGGGGGCGGGGCTAGAGTAGGGCAGTGGGTGGCAGGGTGGTAGCTGTGATGACTACAGTGTAGGATAGTGGTTAGTGGTGGGTTGTAGTAGGGTAAAGTGGGGTGGGGGCGAGGCAGGACGGTGGGGTTGGTAGGGGTAGGTGGCGGGGTGGTAACTGTGACGATGATAGTAGTGGGATAATGGTTGGATGGTTGGGTCCTGGGAGTGTGTGGGTATGACGACAACAATAGTGGCATGGTGTTTAGTGGTGGGTTGTGGTAGCGTGGGGTGTGGGTGAAGGGCGGTTGTTAAGGCGACAATAGTCGTGTAGGGGTGGGGGTTAGGTTAGGGGCGGTCCGGTGGCGATGGGTGGCATATGTGATGACGACATTGGTGGGATTGTGGTCGGGTGGCTGAGAGTGGGTGGGTATGACGACAATAGTAGTGAAGGGCGGTTGTTAAAGCGACAACAGTAGTGGTGTGATGGTGGTGGGGGGTTAGGGATGGGGCATAACGAACAATAATAGCATGGTCGTGGTGGGTGGTGAAATAATTCAATTCCTTCCATTATACCAATGAATGATACATTCATTTTTTTTTTGTGAAATTCAATGTAATTTGAAGGATTCCGTCCATTTCAAAAAAATAAACCAAACAAAAGAACTGAAATTTGGTCAAATAAATTTATCATTCAAATTCCATCAAAATCCTTTGAATTCCACAAACCAAACAGCCCCTTAGATTCAACTCCAATAAGGCAACAACTTTTTTATTTTAGAGATTACAATATTAATTATAGTATTATAATATTTCATACAGTTAAATTAACTATTATTTCTAGTTTTAAACATCTAATTTCAAGGTTTTTATTGATGAAAATATAATTAAAAATGTTTCTTTTTTAAGATAATTGTTTTTGGAGAAGCTGTATGCAAAAATTTACACTGTATGAGAGAGAAATTAATTTTTGTATTCTTTCTACCAATGAGAACCCTTGAAATTAAATGTATACGAGAGAGAAATAATGTTTATGGAAGGTATTGAATTCATCTTGTAATCTATAAATTGGAGAAGCTGTTGGAGATGAATATAGATTTTCTTTTGAGATTTTGACGTTGGATTATCCATTTTGGAAAATCTGTTGGAGATGCTCTAAAGCACTAATCACGTGAGAGTCGTCACGCTTGCTTACAGGGTAAGACTCTCGGTTTTGGCCGTCGCTCTTACCGGGTAGGATTTTTGATATTTTCCATGTTTTTTTTTTTCGTACGGTAAGTGATCCGATAAACACTTATTGGATAAGCATTTGGTAAACGACCTGAAGGAGTGTACCGTGCACAAAAATGCGTAAGCAATCGCACGGATAGGGTTGTTCAAAGTCCGGTTTGGGTGGTTTACCCCCCAAAACCGTAAAACCAAACCGCAGTGGCAATTTAAAAGTTTTTCAAACCGAGCGGTTTGGCAGCAAGTGATCAAACCGATCAAATCGGACCATCAAAAGGAGGTCTGGTCTGACCGGTTTAGACGGTTTGAGCCTCTTATGGACTAGACCGGACCGAACAGTTTGGCTGTTTTTCAGTCCGGACTCATCAAACCACCAAAAATGATATCGACTTGGTTTTACAAGTTTGAATAGTCTTAACGGTTTTTTTGAACACCCCTATGTACAAATACAAATATTATTATTATTTAATTACACAATTATTTAAATTAAAGAAAAAGAAAGTTGAAATTTGAATTTAAAAATCATTGCATGTACCCTTTCACTTAAAAGGGGGAGACAATTGCTTCATAAACAAATAAAAGAAAGAATCTCAGATTTATAAGTTTAATGCTTATCTTTTTAAATTACCATAACAATCTATTTTCTTTATAACTGCTACCACTCAATCTTGATCGTCCATTTTCTTGATCAACATTTAAGATTTTTTTTTTAAATTTAATTGATTTAAAAAAATTAGGAAAAGGGCAGTTTTGGAATATATTTTAATTATTCTAAATTTAATGCTTATCTTTTTCTCTCGTCGATAAACCCCAAACCAACGGCCATCGCCGCTAAACCTACAGCCACCGACAACCTCCATCTCTCTCTCTCTCTCTATGGGTTTGCCGTCACGTTAACCCGTGACTCCACTTTTAAGGTTTGGCTTGCACTGTAACGCGTTATGACGTGTTACAACACGTTATGGCACGCTACAACATGTTATGACATATTACAATGCCTTATTTTGTAAAGTGTGGAGATAGTTTAATATATAATTTGAGCGATAAATGATAATTATGTATGAGATTTAATTAAACATAAATAAGAAACCTAAAAACTAAAACCTTAAATAGATAAATATTTACTCATATTCTCGTACATGAAAAGTCAAACACGAATTCTTTGAAAATTGAGAAAAATAGCGAGTAGAGATTCAAGAGATTTAATCTCGATTTTACACTCTTAGTATCATTTTCTATAAATTTTATATATTTGGTATCAATGGTTCTTTTTTTTATTACTTTATATGAATTTAATTTGTTCGAAACTATTATTCAAAACACTAACACATACAAGGATGGTTGTGTGCGTGCGTGTGTGTGTATATATATATATATATATATATATATGTGTGTGTGTGTGTGTACCACCTTAGGGCACGTCTTGGAAAACACCATCGTCTAGCCGTAATTCGTAAGGCTTGAGGCTTAACCTTGCCGCCACGTCTTGCATCATTTAAAACCATGAATATTATACATACATACATATATATATATATATTCAATTTGTATATCATTATTTAAATGTATATTTTAAAAATTGGTCCAAAAATAAAAATGAAACCACAAATGTGATTTTTAAATGTAATTTACCCCAAGTCCCTAAATATATTATTTTACTCATATGTTCTTATTTTTTTAAAAAAATAATATTTTATATATTTGATAAAAAAAATAAGTATTTTATTGAATTTATATCAAATTAAACCTTTTTTTAGACAAAAGCACATGAAACGAATGAAAGGTCCATTAATTGATAATGTAAGATTTAAAAAATATTTAGAGTTATTTTATGAATTAATTTATGAATTAATTTATCGTATATAAATATTATATATTTAAAAAAAAAATACTTGGAGTTATTTTATTTAAATATATGAAATAATATTTTTACGAGAAATACAACAAATAAATTTACACACTTTTACATATTTAATTAGGTTTGAATTCCTGATCTTCTGAGAGATTAAAAGTCATATTTAAATATCCGACTTTTTGAGATATTAAAAATGCAAATTTCACCTTGTCAAAAGCCAATTGTTTTTTTTTTTCAAATCTAATGACATTTGCTTTTGAAACCTAATCATATGTAATTATGCACTGAAATCACATTCGATTACAGGAACACAGTCAATGTAAGGATGTATGGACAACTTGGCCCGTGACGTAGGTCGCACGTAATCACATGTGATTTTATGTATGAATGTAATGTAAAATATCATGTGATTTGATCATTTTTCTATTTTTATTATTTAGTCATTGTTTTCTTCTA